CCGATATAAGATTACGCACATTGACACAAAAACACACCAAACAGTCACACACTATAGTAAGTATTTCTGTCTTTCCACAGGATCAATATCCTACCAAACACTGTTGCCTCGGATTATGTTGTTCACGTAAGTTTTAACAAATGTGAGTGATAGAAGACATTTAAATGTGAAACAGTGGTAGTGGACATTTGATTGTGTAACACTGGTAGAAGACATTTGATTGTGTAACACTGGTAGAAGACATTTGAGTGTGTAACACTGGTAGAAGACATTTGATTGTGTAACACTGGTAGAAGACATTTGATTGTGTAACATTGGTAGAAGACATTTGATTGTGTAACACTGGTAGTGGACATTTGATTGTGTAACACTGGTAGTGGACATTTGATTGTGTAACACCGGTAGTGGACATTTGATTGTGTAACACTGGTAGTAGACATTTGATTGTGTAACACTGGTAGAAGACATTTGATTGTGTAACATTGGTAGAAGACATTTGATTGTGTAACACTGGCAGTGAACATTTGATTGTGTAACACTGGTAGTGGACATTTGATTGTGTAACACCGGTAGTAGACATTTGATTGTGTAACACTGGTAATAGACATTTGATTGAGTAACACCGGTAGTAGACATTTGATTGTGTAACACTGGTAGTAGACATTTGATTGAGTAACACTGGTAGTAGACATTTGATTGTGTAACACTGGTAGTAAACAATTTTTTGTGTAACATTGGTAGAAGACATTTGATTGTGTAACACAGGTAGAAGACATTTGATTGTGTAACATTGGTAGGAGACATTTGAGTGTGCAACACTGGTAGAAGACATTTGAGTGTGCAACATTGGTAAAAGACATTTGAGTGTGTAACATTGGTAGAAGACATTTGAGAGTGTAACACTGGTAGTAGACATTTGAGTGTGTAACACTGGTCAAAGACATTTGAGTGTGTAACACTGGTAGTAGACATTTGAGTGTGTAACACTGGTCAAAGACATTTGAGTGTGTAACACTGGTAGTAGACATTTGAGTGTGTAACACTGGTCAAAGACATTTGAGTGTGTAACACTGGTCAACGACATTTGAGGGTGTAACACTGGTAGTAGCATTTAAGTGTGTAATATTGATAGAAGACATTTAAGAGTGCAACACTGGTAGTAGACATTTGAGTGTGTAACATTAGTAGTAGACATTTGAGTGTGTAACACTGGTAGTGGACATTTGAGTGTGTAACTTTTGTAGAAGACATTTGAGAGTGTAACACTGGTAGTGGACATTTGAGTGTGTAACTTTTGTAGAAGACATTTGAGAGTGTAACACTAGTAGAAGACATTTGAGTGTGTAACAATGGTAGCGGACGTGGTTGAGTGACAATGTGACTGATTGATAGATTGACTGGTTCAGCGAGTAAGTGAGTGCGAGAGTGAGAGAGTGAGTGAGTGAGTGAGTGAGTGAGTGAGTGAGTGAGTGAGTGAGTGAGTGAGTGAGTGAGTGAGTGAGTGAGTGAGTGAGTGAGTGAGTGAGTGAGTGAGTGAGTGAGTGAGTGAGTGAGTGAGTGAGTGAGTGAGTGAGTGAGTGAGTGAGTGAGTGAGTGAGTGAGTGAGTGAGTGAGTGAGTGAGTGAGTGAGTGAGTGAGTGAGTGAGTGAGTGAGTGAGTGAGTGAGTGAGTGAGTGAGTGAGTGAGTGAATGTTAAAGACTGAAACAGTAGTATCAAGTATCATATAAAATTGATGTTTTGTTGATGAAATATGTATCCTAACTTCAGAAAGTTCATTTCCAGCCCTGTTAAATTCAGCCAAGCACTATCAATGTCTTAAAAACGTCAGGAAGCGTTTGAAATAGCTCGACAGTTCTATTACAAATATGATAAATGTAGTGGATATTCATACTGGAAACTTTCAGGCATATTGCAAGGAAACAAAAACTGAGAGCAATAATTTGTATAGTAGACAGTCATGTTTTTCATTAGATCATTTGTAATCTTTCAGGTAGACCATACTCGCCACCTGTTCAGCTTTGGGACTGCGGCTCGAAGCGACTTCCTTTTCGACATTGATTTTCATCAATATCGTGACGTTTTGTACAGCTTATTCAACTCAGTGACACTAACTACCTATGACTGGTTGAATTATCAAGATAACGTGGTAAGACATTTCTACACATAACCAGGTCAAATATATAACATCAATAACAACAACAATAAGCAATCAAAACTGCAGCTGTATAACTGTAATCAAAAAGAACATTCATTTATACCCAAAAACTGCAAAATTAATATCTAGCGACGTTGACTGTTAGCAGTCTCCTAAACACAGTCCCCATCGACACAGCAGATTTCATGTATAAGAAGCTGCAGGACATGAGACGATAGTACAGCTGTTTGTCCACTAAGTCGGGCACGTAGAAAATACATTTGCATGTGGAAAAAAGAAATAAAGTAACGATCCCCTTTCACGCCTTTCTGCGTATCGGGAATAGGGGAAGAGCGCCCATATTTTTACAGACCAATCGGCACTAGGTGGGTAATGTGGTCAGCATTACGCCAGCTGTCTTTACTTTCGCAGGACATACATCCTGGTACCCATTTTAGGCTGGGTCGATCCATTTGCATTTTGGCCTGACAAAATGAGTACCGTGATAGCAAGAATAATATTCATTAAAAAAATTATTAAGTTAACATTAATGTAAAGTTTTACGGGACATTGTTGTTGTGTTCCTGTTGGACTGACATTCGAAATAATGCTCTTTGAATCACGGGTGGAATTTGAATGGGAAAAAACACATATACTGGTAACAATTCTGACAAAATGAAATCTTTCAAGATCAGGAGGAGTGTAAGTTAGAATTTGTTGGCATCTTTCTGTCTTTCCAGACGATAGTGTTATCCTGTTCTGTGGGAAGTCATGAGAATCACAGTCCAATGTTATGGCGAGTGTGATAGTCAGGAAACGTCTTCTACAATTAGAGAATGGTATTTTAGTACCGTTGTTACGATTACCTGAATTTAGTAAGCTTGTTCTAAGACAAACATCTTTCAACCTATCTGCAAGCAGTCCCCCCCCCCTCCCCCACCTTTTCTCCCCTCTATTCCAATTGCTTTCGTGACCTTTCTTTATGCAACACGGTAATTGGCATTTTGTTCCCATGATTCTACCTCAATACCTCTCCCGCTACCACACATCTTTAACGTTTGAAAATGGGATTTTAAAAAATTACAGTAACATAAGCCACAGACAAGGCATATATATATTTATATAGAAAGCGTGCGTATGTTTGTGTGTGTTTGAATTAGTATGTATATTGACCTATATTGCATCTTGTTACCATTGTTTATCCAGGATGGCTCAAGCTATTTTGTAACTGTCGCCGCCACAGATGAGGCTCTTAAAAATGGGTATGATTGTTAATGTGCCATTTATTGCCTTCATTGACTGCTAAGGAGTAGTAGTTGTAGTAGATTTTTACCCTTACTAGGATATCACACAAGAGATAAAGACCCGAGGACACAAAGTGCCACAATGTGGGTGAGGATCGCCGTGGAGAGGTCCCAGAAACCGCGTTCAGCCATTAGACCATATTTATGGCCGGGCTATATTGCGGTCCCTGGCAAGAGCCAGGGTGGGACTCGTTAGTTAACTGGTTATCTGATTGGCTGACTGATTGGTTGGTAAACTGGTTATCTAATTTCGAACCCACAGCAGACGAATTTCGCAAAAGTTCCCAGCCTCTTGTATAAGATGCAAATGTTGAGGGGCATGTATCGTCGCTACTGCGTAATTATATGAATACGTCGACATCTTCCCTACCAGTAACAACTTATGCTATAGACGCATAAGGCAAAAAAAATACAATATCAAGCCCGTTGATAGAGTAGCTAAATGTTGAGTTAAGAATCGACATCACAGCCCTAAGGACACCCCCTTAAGCGCTCTGTTCCTATCTTCAGCAGCAAGCGGAGAGTTCCAATTCCGATGGTTTTCAAATGTCTGATTGTATATCCGTCTCGCCCTTCCCTTGAAATAGTCTCATGTTCAGTTTCAGCAGTTGCTACAATGTGTGATACACATGATCTGTATTTTTGTAAATTCACAATGTTCCCACGGCTGATGTTCACGTAGGAAATAAGTAAAATAGCTCTCATATTAACAAACAGCTTGTGTAACAAGGACACAAAGACAATGTAACGACATTAGTTATGAAACATTTCCATCCGTGAAACATACATTCGAACATAACCTCATAAGGATGAGACTGTCAGAAACCATAACATGGTTATTGTATGAAGGCTCAAAACACGTGACTTGCAAAAGGTGTGCTTATTGTAGCATGTAATGAGCATTCGCCAGTGTCTTAAGCGATATTCAAGATCATCACCTATCAAAATGCTGAATGTTGTATTAGGAATCGACATCACAGCGCTCGGGATACTCCAATAAGTGCTCCGTCCTCATCTTCCGCAGCAAGCTATGAGTTCCAATTCCGATGGCACCAGTAACTGTCTGACTGTATATCAGTGTCATCCTTCCCTCGAGTGTTAAGCGTCGGCCACATTCCCTGTTAACTCCTTGCAGCGTCATTCTACTTAGACTATCAGACATGGCATAGTGTAGCCTCTATAAAATCTATGGAGATACTTCATTTTCATTCCGAGATTATGTTCCATCTGGATGTAAACTAGAAAGGGGAACAGACTCATTTCTGTGTTGTGAGACGCTTTGTACACATATGGCTAACTGCGTATGTTTATAGACTAATTAATGAGGTCCTCGTTAATGAACGAAGAAGTAGAATTTATTTTCACAAACTGAGCAAGCAGACCACTCTTTCACTCAGTTCTTCCATTTAATCTTTTTTTTTTAACGCTTATAATTGTTATTTGTGTCATCATCGTCGTCGTCAATTTCAACAACTGCCGTTAAGTGTTGTGGGGAGGAACAGTGTGCGACCCACTGCTTGAGAGGCAGCAATGGCTATGTTATTCTGTGTCGATCTATAAA